TCATGTCGGGAGTTTGCATGTTCACCACCCTTGCTTATGTGTGTTTTCACCGAGTCTAGTTAAGCACTGTGTATCTCTGAGTTCCGTGCGCACACAGCACGCAACATCCTGTGAGGCTACTGAGGCCACACATCCTAAACGCAGTCTACATTCCAACATCAAACGTACTGATGATTTCTAAAATATGGAAATCAGACTATTGCATTTGCAATAGCCAACTCGACGGAGTTCTGCATGAAAAAGAAAAGGCGAATAACATTCAAATTTGCGGAAATTTTGCGGGATCTCTGCGTAAGAGGCAGTTGAGTCTCTTGCATAGAGTTACGTTATCTTTTGGAAGAGGAATTGGTAATGTACATGCCAGGAAGATTCACAATGTCGAGCAATCCTAATTTTTCCAAGCAAGAAATTGTACTTTGATGAAAACCAATTTCTTGTGTATGCTAAAGGTTATTAGATTACATTTAAAAAAAAAAAAACACACACACACACACACACACACACACACACACACACACACACACACACACACACAAAAACTGTCACCATTGCACGACAACTACTTTGTGTTTTTACGGTTGTCTGTTGTCATACTGAAGAACCATTCTCAAATGACACCGAGTCCAGAATATTGCTGCTCGAGTGCAGATGAGAACTCAGACTTACTGATCCTATTTACCCTGCTTTGGCTCACTGTGCTTTATAAATAGGCTCAAGAATAATTTTTGTCATCAAAAATGTAGTTGAATCTAAAACATGACATTCAAGGATTCACATATGCTGAATTTACATAATTGGAGGAAAAGACTTTTGGTCTGGCCAGACCTTTCAGTTCTGGACCTGAGGGCAAATATGCCTGTATTCAGTATTAGAAGAGCAAAACTCAAACCTCGCGCTGTAATTCAAGGGCATAATTCACCCTCTCTTTCTCACCAATTTAGCTGGATTTGTTCTGCTGGAACAGCTCCAAAAGTACCTTGGAGTAACTTTTGATGTGAATGGGGAGTATGTAAACTTAAGTGAATGGACATCATGGAATTCGAAGAGAAATCATTCACATAAGACATCACATGTGAATGAAATTAATCACAGTGCGTGTAAGTAGATCTGGGGAATTCCATTAAAGGCAGCTCAAGAGGAAAAAACACAGAAAGCATAATTAAGTCAAGCCTATCAGCTAACAACCCCCAAGAAGATTTTCTGTATTTTCCCCTCATTTTGTTGTATCTGTCGTTATCTACACCACAGGATGACAATACGGGATTTCTTCTTTTCCTTTCGGCTTATCCCGTTTGGGGTTGCCACAGTGTGTTGTACTTTTCCATTCAAGTCTATCTTTAGCATCCTCCTCTCGAACACCAATTGCCCTCATGTTTACCCTCACTACAACCATCAACAGACTATTAAGTCCTCAGGGTCAGACAAAACCTTGACTACCTTGGTATTTGATGAATAAAAGCAATTTTAAAAGTGAGTATGCTTTTTTCAGTGGTAACTGGTACTGATTTCAAAGACAGATTGTTTTTTCAGATTATTTTGTAATTATTTTATTTATTTTTACTAAGAGGCTGTGAAACAATGCTACTCCAATGTCAGTTAGGGATATACATCCATCCGTCATCCTCACGAGGGTTGCGGGCCTCCTGTGCCAATCCCAGGGCAGCACAGTGATTGACTGGTTAGCATGTCTGCCTCGCAGCGCAGAGATCCAGGGTTCAATTGCGGCTCCGGCCTTCTTGTGTGGAGTAGTCTGCATGTTCTTCCCGTGCCTGCGTGGATTTTCTCCAGATTCCAAAAACATTTGGTTTTGTTTCCACTTGTTCTTGTCATCCATTTATTGTATTTAGTTCCCTCAGTTCTGTCAGTCTTGTTGGGATCGTTGTGTTACTGCCTCGTTTTTTTGTTTTTTTTTTGGGTGTGTTTCTGTCATGTTCTTTTGTTCTTCCTGCAATGTGTTTTTGTTAGTTTGTTACTTTGAGTTATTTGGGTTTTTCGGGACTTGTTTTGTGTTTTTGATGTGGTCATTCCAGTGTAACCCTGCAAAAGTGTTTTTTTTTTTTTTTTAATACATTTTGTTCAGTACTCCCTGCTTCTCCTGCCACCCTGCTTTTTTGGGTATAGGGAATTGGGAATAGAAACTTCATGTAGTTTTAAAAATAGATTTAAAAAAGTGATTTAAGAACAAAATACCGATAAATCATTTCTATTGTTATGTAGAGCCAAATGTTGTGATGGGATGACTACCGTATCGTCACCGGGTCTGATAACCATAGCCCTCAGACACCTGCCACTCATTTTATGTTGGTTGTGGGAAACTTACTGCAGTTGTCTTCATCACTCCCGTCAGGGCAGTCACTAAAGCCATTACACTGGAAACGTCCAATGATGCAGTGGATCCCATTGGCACAGGCAAAGAACGTAGGTGCACACTTGGACTTGACTTTAGCTGAGGAGTAATTGAGGGGAGGAAACCAAGTAAAATCACACATTAGTCTTCAACCAGAGGAAGCAACAATAACAACAACAACAAAAATAATCAATTCATAATACATGCATTTTGGTTGGACTCCTGAACAACCGGGGTGCAAATCAAACATCTACTTGACATAGTTGTACCATTTTTTTAGACATGACATCAACCATGTTTGTCTGAAACATGGTTTTTAATGATTGATTCAACACACTGTAGAAATGAACCATGACGGTTATCTATGGTGCCAGTGTTTCATTATGATAAGGCATCAATAGGGCAGCTGACCATGACTCATCACGAGAGCAAAGATGCAGTGCCATGAAAATGTATTTGCACTCTTCTCAAATCTTTCAATAATCCAAGCAGAAATATAATGCAGGTTGATGATGGTTATATTTATTGGAGGTTGTTGGAGAGATGTATTCAAAGATGGCCCTATGTGGAAAAGTACTTGCTTCACCTGTTTAATCATGGCTAAAAGCAATTTTTGGAAGGCTGAGTTCATTTTAACTGGCCATACCCAAGATTGAAGACCTCCTTGTGTTCAATCAAAAAATACTCAAACATAACCTGTATGATATTATTAAGTTGGCCAAAGGATCTCGAAAAGCTGCACCAAAATGCCACAAGACAACGGAATTCAAAAACAAATGAAGAGATGAGAAATGAAATCATGACATCTATCGGTCTGGAAAGAGTTACAGAGTCATTACTAAAGCTTTAGGACTACTGTGAACCACAGTGAGAGAGATTAATCACAAATGGAGAAAACGGTGAACACTCCCAAGAGTGCCCGGCCAACAGGCAATCTATTATTTCATGAGAACTTAGTAGCAGGGCAAGAAGACAGGAACTATTGAGGACATCTCGAAATGCTATCTTGTAGTGTGTGCTTTGTTACAGAAATAAGATGCGAGACTTTCTCAACTTTTCATGATCACATGAAAGTTATTCATTGTCTATTTGATACACCATGTTTTGTTTTGTTTTTAAAGTAAAATTGATAGCCACTGATTTGCAGCACGGCATTTGTTTTGAAGAGCAAACAGCAAAAAGGGTTGTCCAATCTTAAAATAGTGACTTAATTGTTTCCATCGAAACACATAAAATCCAATGTTTTGAATCTGGAGGATGCCCATCACATTCATTCATGAACTGTGGAACAAAGGGCTGCTGTTGTGCCACTGACAGATGTTGAGCTTCGACTGTGAAGTTCAGATTTATTGATGTCAACGGAAACATATTCCTCCCATTAATCAAATCTTTAACACAAATATATGCAAAGTAATAAAAGTGTTTGGTCAAGACCAGCTAAACAAGCAGATGATGCAAATGCAAATGACATTGGCATGATATGTAAAGACAGGTTCTTTAAGCATTCTGTTTGGATGGGGATCATTTCAAAAACATCAGCCGGACAAGAGATGTTTCAAAAGTGTAAAGAAAACACAAGTTATATACTCCAAAAAGTATGTTGAGGGAAGCAGCAAATTCTAGCACTATTCAGCAATGACGGGAGAGGAAAACAAACACAGGGCTAAGACAAAGGGAACAAGTCTTTTCTCCCGGGACAGCCTGGATCAATTACCAGATGTCCTCCGGACCAAACCTAAACAAACAGATCGTGTACGAAATAGTGAAAAGGTGATTCAAAAAAAACAAAAACAAAAAAAAAAAACAAGCATAAAAACTAACTTGTTTCTCTGTCCACAAAACACAGATGAATGTCAAAGAATATTTTTGAATATATTCTACACTCACCTAATCTCATGTAATCTAGCCCAAATCTTTGTTAGTGAGAATTTCCCCCCCATGTTGAGATAATCCATCTACTTCAGAGGTGTGGCAAATCTAAATGCTGGTTTGAGAGTATTATTTCACAGGCATGCATGTAGGCTGCCACAATAAAGGATCTTTGTCAAATGTGCAGTTGTACTGTACTGGGTGTGTCAGGAGGGCCAGATGTCTCTGAAGTGACCACCATTTGCCTCATGCACTGAAAAACCTCTCTCATCAGTGGAATGTTTTCCACTTCTCTTGAAGTTGCTGGATATTGGCTGGAATTGAAACATGCATACGCCAACACAGGGCATGCTAAATATGCTCAATGGGCGACATGTCTGTTGAATATGCTGGCCATGCGAGAACTGGGATGTTTTGGGTTTCCAGGAATGGACTGACACCATGCACGGAACACATCTGCCTTGCGTGACAAGGCGGCATGTTAATTTTTGGTCACCACGTAAAAACATGGTTAAAATTAATTATTAATGTTAAAATTCAAAAGCGAAATTCAAGTCTTTGAAAAGTAAAAACGTTTTATGTCATTTGACTTAAATGCCATGATATGATACAATACAGTATCACGATATGAACCTCACAATACATCAATTATCACAATATTGTGGGGAAGGGGACGATATTAAAAAAATAAATAAATAAAAAAGCCCGATACTGTATAAAAAGTCATGATTTTTTTTTTAATTGCATTTTTGTACATTAGAACAGTGACAAAGAAATTGGATTCCCCAGTCACTTTGTTGTCAGTTGCTCTTATTCATTCTCATTCTCTAATTCTTTATGTATTTCAAAATGCTGTGTTCGGCTGAGAACACTAATAACACATAATATTGAGGCACTTTCTTGTTAATGCACACACACATTGTGAATTAAGTCAATTTGTGGAGGAACTCATATGTTACATTCTCCTTCGCCTGGCGATTAGCGTGGTTGCCAAATTCAAATTAAGCTGCACTAATACATGAACCACCAGAGGGTGATGGAAGTGCAAAAATGAAAAATAGTAGTTAACGTTTTCCCTACTTAAGGTACGTTGTGCACACATCCATGCAATATGAGGCGATCGATTGTGGATGAAGTACACAACGGGCCTCAGGACCTTGTCATAGTATCTTTCCACATTCAAAATGGGGGGGGGGGGGGGGGGGGGGGGTTCGCCTGTGGTCGAAGTCGGTCCCTTATCGCCGGTGATACGTGGGGGTCCACTGTATTATGTGATGTGTAGACAATAAAATGTGTAGTGATAATAAGTGGAGTATTGGAGTATTTTATTGCAGAATGAGAAAGACAAGAGGCTGACAGCTCACTTCAACTAATTGAGCACAAATAGACAATTATCTTTATTTTGTATGATTGCTTACAAGAGAAACAGTATTGTGATTCTCTTTCTGTCCTGGATTTTAACAACATGGACAATAACGTTTGAATACTTGAACGTTGAAATAGTCACAACACAAATGCCAGGGGCGCAATATTTTCAGTAAACAACAATGTTGTGGGCAGAGATATAGGCTCTTTCAAGTAGCACAAATACATTTGGCAAAGCAGGAGGGATAGGCACAGGAATAGCAAGGGGAGCGCCCCGTCTCCAAGATGAAAAGTAATCTGCAGAACAAGGGAGGGAGCTGGGCTTGAGTCCATTCTGTCGTTATGTACCCTGGGAAGCCTTTTGTTTACCTGGACAGCACACCCATAATCACCCAAAGCTCATTAGGCATGGTATATCATGCCCATTGGAGTCCAAGGGAGAAAGAAACATGGCTCTCAGCGATATGGAAAAAATAATAGGGGTGAACACAGAATTTACCTGTACACAACATTTGACCAGATTTTCTGACTTCCTTCTTTCTTTGCCACAAAGACATTACATTGCATTCTGCTAAATGCGTGGCTATGATGTTAGTTGAGACAGCTCTGTGATTGCCTCGAGAGCCCCCCATTCACTTCCTGTCTCATCTACATCCTCATTACCACTTCTGCTGCTGGCTGGATTTATCTGACCCAATGTTTGTGTTCCCAATTAACTCAAAAGTCGCATGAAGGGCAAGCTCATGAAGAGAAATTCGTGGGTGGGAAAGACAGCAAAAGGATGGAGCTTAAGCGCTTATATCCATTTGCGGATGCAAGGCTGTGCGCTGAGTGGGATTTAGAACAAACATTATTCCAGCACGCACTCAACAGTTTCAGTAGAAAACGTGGAAAAACAAATCATTTTACCATGATTTTCTTTTAATCATGAAGGTGTCCGATTTCACTTTCATCCAAGAACCTTTTGACAATCTGGAAAATGCTCAAGGAGCATGACAGCATGTCCTCGTCTTCTCTTCTCCCATTACAGTCTTTCATCATTTGAACTTTTAAAACCCTGTGCCAAATGTTCTTTTTCCTCGCTCTATAGAGGTCGTTTCGGATGAGAGAGCGGGGTGTTGGGCAAGTTGCAAACTTAGCCTAAATGTTGATGGGTATGCAGCTCAAATGAATGCGAAAGAAGCCGTAGTCAAGCTGATTCCTGGGGTGAAACTATCACAAGCACAGTAGGGGACAAGATTACATTGGATTTTGCATTTGCACGCGCACATTTATCCATGTTACCATTTTCTATGGAGTCTATCACAGTAAACTCAGTTTTAGAGATTAAGGGTGAGCACAGCCTGTGCAGATCTCCAGTCAGTTACTGAGTCGACAAATTTGGACAGAGAAGCCGAAGGGCGCACATCTCTCCAATAAAAGATTGCATACATATCTCAACACATGGGGTGCAATACGATCCGAGGACGGTTAGATTTTAATGTGGAAAGATTAGATTCAGTGGGATTATGAATCACTTCAATATAGTCCAGCTCAGTTCAAGAGGGTATGATATCAACAAATTTTACTGACATATGAATAAACTTAAAGTCAGAAGTGTTGTACCGTGACATTTTCTTCAAACATATCTCTCTGTAATTAAAGACAATTTAATACAGATCTCGATATAATTTAAATTTGAATTCTTCGATTCTGTTCAATTTTTGTTTCACCCCAATTCAGAATCAACTTACATATCGTCTTCAATTGACCCAATGTACATGTTTTGAGACTGTGGGGAAGCCAGAGATTAAATACACAAACAATGAAAAACAAGCCAACTCAACATGGGAAGACCCAAGGAGATAATTGCCCCAGATGTTTGAACCCTTTTACTTTCTGTTTTGACTGTATAGACAAGCAGATGAATGGTCGACTCTTCCACAAGCCAATATAAGGAGCAAAACTGCACCTGGTTCCAATTAAATGCATTTTTCTAATTTCAGAAAATCAAAAGAAGAAACAGTAACATTTTGAGATGGTGTGATTCGTGTTCCTTTTCACAGTTCGCAATAAATGATGAAAATCCAGGCCAAGGAGATCAGCAACTCAAGCTAACATAAACTGGAACACTATTTTTTTTTTTGTCTGCTCTCCTGCATACACTTCAGAATTCATGGACCCTGCTACTGTACTTGTGTACTTGGTGTTTTGCCCTTCCCCAATATGCACCTCCATGCCCTTCTTCTTGTTCTTTTCTCACTTCCCCAGAGGAAAGAATAACTTGTTTGGAACAGGTAGGTTTGGTCATATTGGGCATGCATGATTGATACAGGAGTGAGAGTTGGGCAGGCTGTGGAGGAACTGAAGAGACTCAAACAAAATAAAAGAGCACAGAGGTTGTGTAGAAGAGGATTTCAACATTTCTGACTTTGCTCAACGCTAGCGAAGGTGAAAATGCAATCAATAAAGTATCTGACTCAGGGTGTTAGCAAGAAGGTCAGGATTATTTTCAGACTCATGGTTTAACACAGGGGTCCCCAACCGCCGGTCCGCGGACCGGTACCGGTCCGCAGGGCATTTGGTACCGGGCCGCACAGAAAGAACTTGCCTTATTTCCGTTTTATTTATTTCGGAATACGAAATGTGTTTTATTTTGAAAAATTACCGGATTCTCTGTTACATCCGTCTGTGTCAC